GCTTTTCTTCTCGAGATATCCGAAAAATGCTGAAAATCAGACAAAAAGAGTCAGTTAACGTTTTTTCAGTTTTTTTTGTTTGATTTTCAGCATTTTTCGGATATCTCGAGAAGAAAAGCATATTTTTCGAAAAGAAAAAAAACTAACCGGAGAGAGGGTCTGAAATATCTGTGGTAAAATGTTGTGCTCGATCAGACCATTTTTTCGAGGAGTCGTAATGTGAGTCGATGAAAAGTGAAGTTTTTCAGAAAACTCATAGAAGAAGACGTCAGAAAATTCTGGGAAAAAATATATCGATTCTCTACGTTTTCGACGTTCTATCTCTGATGTAAATTTCAACCCGATCCGACATCGGCTTCCCGGTTTTCAAGGGCGAAGTGTGCCCTTAAGTAAATAAACATAATACCTTTTGTTCAATGTTTTTTTTAAATACTTTTAGCTGAAACTCTTAAAGCTCGTTTAGCTGAGTTGCGCGCAAGACGACATGAATTAGAAAAAGTTCGTGAAGAAGTTATCAGACGATTGAAAAATATTCATAATCGAATAACGTTACGACGAAAAGAAGGTAGAAGGAAATATGTGTGTACTAAGAAAAATTATCTATCTAAAAACCATTATAAAATAGACGCCACCTAAGTTGCTCAATTGATATTTGAAAAGTTTGAGCTTTTCGCTCAAACTTTTATAGTAGATAGTGGCAACATATATCGGAAGATGTCTAAAAAGTTTTGACCGAGACTTACTCTCTTCAAGAATTATAGAATTTGTCATGAAAGTATTAAAAACAGCTTAAACCGATAACGGTTGGAAAATTTAATTTGTTTTGTTTATATCTCGGTCTAGAAAGAGTTTCTATTTCGAGCATGAATAAAGACCATATGCAAAAACGAATGTTGCATATGTGCAGTTTTATGCGAATAAAATTTTACTTCTGTGCTACTTTCAAAAAAACATTTTGCTCACCGAACGTTATATATTCAGTCAAATATCATCGATACATATAGTACAGGTACGTGACTAAAGGAAATGAAAACTCTGATTTAACCAGATATCTCGTCTGAAATATAATGGAACTCAACAGTAAAATGAGACTCTAATCAAAACTTCATTTTCTCTTCGGATACCTCTCACAATCGGTAGGTTCTTATGTTGTTAGAATCTACTGATCTTGGACTCTCGAAGTCTAAAAACAGATTTATGATAGATTTATCTTTTTAGAAACCATTTGCTTCCTAGCAAAATTCGCTGACATATTCGCCGAAAAAGTTGAAGTTGAATCTGCTCTCAACGAAAAGTTCCATAATTCTTGAAGAGAAAAAGTGTTAGTCAAAAAATTTGGGATATCTTCCGAAATATGTGGATGCTATCTACTATAATAGTTTGACTAAAAAGCTCTAAGTAACTTATGCAACAAACGGCCGCGGCAGTGACTCCTAAACTGCTTTCTTTATGTTTACAATTTTTTTTTCCTACTCTTAATTTGTTTAGCTCGGGATATGTGGAAAAAGAAATATTTTACGGAGAAAAAGAAAATGCCACCTCTAGAAGAACGTGTTCAACAATTACAAAATGATTTAGATCAAATACAAAAGAAAACGCTTGTGGTAATGAATCAAGAATCAAAACATGCACCACAAACCGGTTACGGGAAAGAAGCGGAAACAGGCGTATGTTAAAATTCTCTTTCTCATTAGATGTAAAAATAATTGTTGTTCTTTTAACATCTCAGGATAATCGTGTTCAATTTACAAAAATGCAATATAGTATTCAAGATATAAGATATCAACTTGATCAAGCAAAATTAAGATTAACAACAGACATTAAGGTACGACTTATCAATGTGAAAACAAAGATAAAGTTTATTTAGAGTCGCGAAAAAGTACTTTTTTGTATTCAGCACACTGGATTAGAGGCTTGCAGGTTTAACACGCGAATTCGAATTCAACCTCTTTCCTCGGGTTCGAGTTCGGAACGAGTTCGAGTCCATTGGAACGGGATCGGGTTTCTTCTTCAAAAGTTGTATTATTTTTGGCAGGTAACTTCTGGTATTTTATTCAAAAGATAAAAGTAAGAAAATATCTGTTTCTGATGGACGGGATCAAGGATTTTCAGTCCCGGTTCCGATCCCGCAAAGTTGTTTCGGTCCCGGTCCCTGTCCCGGTTGCTTTTCAATGAAACTAGTTGCTTTTTTGGAATCTCAAATTGAGACTTTGGTGTTTTTAAAAAAGTTTGTATGACGTAGATGGAAAGTTCAATGCCTAGAAAAGAACTGTTAGACTTTCTGACGATTTTCTACAATATTTCTATTTAAGTATGGAGACTAGGTGAAGTTTTAGCTGAATTTACGGAACTGTCAAAAGAAATCTTCGTTCTAGTGTCAGTCGCGGAAAAAAACGTTTGTAGTCCCTATCCCAGTCATGGTAAAAGAACTTGTTTGGGACCGGGACGATTCCGCTCATGTCTAGTTTCTGAACCTGACAGAATGTTTATCACAAGAATAAAAATAGAAAACTCTTTTCGCAAGTCCATGAATTTTTACTGTCATTCAAACTATCATCATTTTGATCCAATTTTTGCTTCTTGTCTGTGAATTGTTCATACGCATCATTTTTATTTGAATGTTGTCGCGTATCAGTATTTTTATCCATCGATATTCGCGTATTGAGAGATTTTAATAAAGACAAATTTTTCTTAAGAAACATTAACTTGTTAATTTTTTCGGTTCCTAATTGTGTTCGACTATCAATAATTGTGTTTTTCAAAGAAGAAAATAGGTGCTCGACCTCTGTATTTGAGGCTGGAATGGTGATGGACACCACTTTACTAGAAAAAAAACTTCGGGTTCTTGTCTGTTTAATTTTAAAAAATCGGACTCGGGATCAAAAATGTTAGATCCGCAAGACTCTACACTCGATAACCTAGAAGATTTTCTATTTTTGACGAGTTGATTACCAAAAGTTTAGAAAAAATTGACGGGAAAATAATATTAGGTTCAAAATTTTTCTTAAACTTTTGGCAGTACCCCTTGCCAAAAATAGAGAATCTACTGAATTATCGAGTGTGTTGAATACGAAAAGGCGCTTTTTCGCGATTCTAAATAAACTTTATTTTTCTATCAGTAATATGAATATTTCTCACATTTTGCAATAGATTAATGAAATTTCTCTGTTCATCTACTTTTAGCTTCGAAATCAAGCTGAAAATGAATGTCATTCGTTGAAACATGAATTAAGTCAAGCAAGAATGAATTTAGATCACATTAAAATGAAAGTGATTGTCCAATAAAATTCATCAGATAATTCTAAACCTTGACATTATTGTTGATAACTCAAATTGTTTTCTTTTTTGACTTTTACATTTTATTTGGACATTTTCTAAAGTCTTAACAATTCAAAGGGGGAAACAGTTGATTTTTGAATTTTTTCGATTTTCGTCGATTTTCACCAAATGAAAAGGCACCGGAAATGACTGGAAGTTGAAAATCGCACAGAGTCATTGAAAGTCGCACAGAGAATCACTGAAAATCGATAATTTTGGATGATCTTTGACTGATTTTGGGCTGATTTCAATCATCTGTTTCCCCTTTGTAACAACTTCAGTAACCATCAGTCATCTATTACCTGATTAACTTTTTAAAAGTTGACAAAACACTTCGGTTTGGTTTAAACTTTCGAGTCAAACGATATTAGGGAATGTACTTACGATAGATGACGTGGTCAATCATCTCCTATATTACCATTCGTATCGCTGCAATGTTCACTGCGTGGAATACGAATATTCAACGTGAAACTCAATTAGTAAAATGTTTCTAAATAATTGAAAAAAATGATGTGCTATCCCAAGCAAAAGCGACCCAATTTTTTGGGTTATTTATCTAGATTCACCTTCATGTACGTCTAGATGCCCGTGGAGCTGAATCTAGATAAATAACCCAAAAAATTGGGTCGTTTTTGCTTGGGTATAATAACTCTAATAGTACATTATTTTTTCTCAATTATAAAGGTACGTTCGTTATATTACAGTCTATAGCGTGAATCTTATACAAAATTTTTCTATTAGTCCATCTACCATTCTATGTTACTAATCGATGATGTTATCCTTTTTTGTAAACAACGAACTAATCTTCTATGGAATATTCGAGCTTGTAAAGCATGCTAACATTTATATTTATTATTCATGGAATGCAAGTTTTTGCAGAATCACTTGAAATGGATATCCTGAGAATGTTCAGTTGTCTGATCTTGAAAACAGAGTGAATAATTATTTACTTACAGGTGCCCGTTTCCTGTTTTTGTTTTCTTGTTCTGTTCAGCTCCAAGATCAGAACAAGAAAATGATAAGACCAGATCAAGAGAGTCCATTTTTTGTCCTGATCTGACAAACAGTAAATCTTGATCTGGTCTTGATCTTTCTTGTCTGATCCTGGTATTTTCTGAGAAACAGACACTGATCCAGAGCTCGGTTTTTTTCATAATCACCGTTGTGTTTTGCTAAATCACGTAGTAAAGAGTAACCACTAATTCTTCGAAAATTATACGGTAGGTTATTTTGTAGCTATAATTCCATCGATCCGTTCTCGCTTGGGTATCTTCTGGTTTGAGCAATATAATTTATTTTTATCAATTTCATCTCTGTTTCCGTAGCGATCAATAAACAGCTGTTGCAGCTTTTACATGTATTAAGGGTACCCCTGCCTTCATTTTGGGCTTTTCGTAGAAATGCTGTGAAATAAAAACTAAAAGTCACTAAGACTTCATATTTTCAAAGCTGATTGAAAACTCCGTGGAGCACTTTTTCGTTTTTGCTTCAAGTTTTTAACTATTGCCGTTCACCAGTTTTCCAGAAAACTCGGTTTTTCGTTATGCCACATTAGGACCCCCTTAAATTTCATTCGATCGAGTTAAAAATTTTGTCAGAGATACTCAAGGTCATATTTCAGATGTATAATTTCGGAACTTTCTTTTCGACCTTTCTTTACTGAGTTATAGGAAAAATACTGAAAAAGTCTCAAAAACCAAATTTTTCAATTTTAGAAACCCTATAACTCGGTAAAGAAAAGTCTAAAAGAAAATTCCAAAAAAACACCTCCGCAATAGTGTCTTGAGTAACTGAGGTAAAATTTTTAACTCGATCGAATGGAATTTAAGGGGGGTCGTAATGTGGCACAATGAAGGCCGGTAGTAAAAATATAGTTTTCGAGAAAAAACGCATTTTGTACATAGGTCACTTTTTCCAGAGCATTTGCTGCGATGCTTATATCTCCGCGAAAACTAATTGGAAAATTTTGTAAAACGTCTTTTTTTTCTACATTCTTAAGTAATTATCTCAGAGAACTCCAGAACACCAGAAAAGACCTTAAAATGCTACGAAAATGTGTGAGCGAACTTTTAAACCAAAACGTAATTCAGTGGCTCAATTATTTGCGTCAAACGATTTGTCATAAAATAAAATTTATATTTTCCGATACTTTGAAATACGATTTATCACATAAGATTAATATGGACATTCTGTTAAAAACTTCTAAACAGCTAACTCAGCTGTACTCTAATTTTAACTATTAGAAAATTTGTTTTTTTGTTGTATTGTGGACTAACCTTTCTCCTGTAATTTTTTAATGAACATGAGCATTTTAGAGTCAATCAGAAGTCTGGTATTTTGGAATAACATAGAAAAAGCTCAGTTTTTTTTTCTTTTATTTTAAAAAGGAAAAGCAATAAAGGTTATGGGAATGAAAGGGATAAAGGGATGAAATTCTACTTTCAAGTGAAGATATAATTAAATAAATGTTACTCTTAATGATGAAAAGAAGGGATCAATGCAAAAAGTCAAAGAAAGCAGAAAAGTAGAGCATAAGAGAAAAGAATCGGCTGGAAAACTGCAGTCAAATTTTCAACCTGTTTCAGCGTTTCTCCAATCTTGAATTTATAGCCCTGTCAATACTTTGGTTTCACCAGCTTTTGTGACGTAATTTTGTATGGCATGTTTAATGGATTCTCTCGACTTTTTCAGTTTGGCGACTAGCCTTTGAGAGTTGATGATAACGTTGGAGATCAAAACTGGCCTCTTCATACTCATTTCTGTTCGTAGAAACTACCTCTTACTTTTGATTTACATGTGGGACTGAAAATCTGAACAACTTGTTCATCAAGCTATTTGCCATAAAACTAGTAAATGTTTGTCCCGACTTCAAGGCCACACGAGAACCACTTGTCTAGTAAGCATGATGCTTGACTATAAACTAATGAAATAAATATATACTATTGATAATAGCAATATAACTGTAAAAGCTTATTTCGGAAGCATGTTTACAGAATAAATATATTAAATGAATAGTTTACTATGTCTTTAGCGTAGTGCTTGCTTAATGTACTGCGGATCTCGTTGTTCCTTTTTCAATCAGCTAGTTATAGCTTCTTTAAGATACAGAATCAAATAATTTGTGTTTTTCAGTCTAAGAAAACAGAATTTTATGGTTCTGTACCTTGTAGATAGCAATGATGTATTTTATGGTGTAATTTCCTCTCCGAAGATTCTTTTTTCTGAAGCTATATGGCTAAATATACATGAAATAAAAGAAAAAGCATCTTTGCTCTTGTTTTAGAAGATCTCGGAGAGTATACATAAAATACAACCTAATTTACCTAATTTTCTCTTCGTAAACATGATGCAATCAACAGGAATGACTAACTTCAAACGTAATGAAACTTTTAAAAGTTAAAAGAAAATGGAAAGAACGCGTCTGAGAGATTCAAACGTATCACCATATATGTAAGTCGACCTGGGCAACAGAGCGATGTAAAAAAGCAGCAAGGGTCCGCTCCCGCTTACTAAAGACTAACAGATAGACATAACGGATATCAATGGGAAATGAAGTAGGAATCATCGTGCAAGAGTGACTGGGCAGATGAAGATGCTGATATATGCTGGAAAATCCAGTAGTTTCCTCTAAGATCCAGTCAGGATTCAGCCTATTCTGATGAAAGATTCTCGAAATCACAGAATACTCCAGATCCATCCCGATCCCTTTCCACATCAAGACAACCGGATTTCGAGGATTTACCGACTCAATCCGTCCACATCCAATCAGCAGCCTGGTCAAACGGGCGAAGGGTAGGGTTCACTATGTCTTAGATGTCTTGACTCTCAATATCGTTCTGTCGTGAAACTTAACAGCTGTTTATCTTGTGCGGAAGTAAGTGACTAAGATAAACTGGAACTAAATTGTTCCCTCAACAAGAAAATGTCCAATTCATGAAACGTTTGTGAGATATACAAGAAACATTTTTCGCAGTGTAGATTACTGAAAGATCAATTTACACACAGTTTGAATACACGCCTGTTCATGCAGTTTAAATAGTTTCATAGTTCTCTACAGTTTAAACTTGTTTAGAGAAGTACTAATACTTCCACTCAAGATAAACTGTTGGTAAGTTTCATGCTAGAACGACATTGAGAGTCAAGACATCACCTCAAACTCACTTATATTAAATTCCACTTCGTTGCTTCGTACTTGTCTTTTACTTCCTGTTCTCCTAAATAATATAAAATTTTCTTCGTCTTTTTGCCGATTTTTTCCTCTTTTCTCTCATTTTAAGTAAAAAAATGAACAAAGTTTAGTGATTTCACAATAGTGTTTAATCAAAGAGATTTCTTAATGTCTTAAGGAGCGTTTTAAAATAGGTCCCAGTTGATTAGCCGTTATTCCGCTATTCCGTTCGTTAGGCCGATATAGATATTATACAACACAATTTCGAATTGGTTTATATAGAGCATTAGCGTAGACAACAGTCAGTCAGCGGACGAAATTTTCTTCGTAATTTTACTATTTCTGATCCATTTTTTACGGTAAAAACTTGATACTAATCAAGATGATTGAGTCGACTGGTCCGTAACTTACATCCATTTTGAAAACGGATATATAATCCGTGATTATTTTTTTAGATATATTCAAATCGGAGTCGAGTAGTTCTGTGTAACTCTCTTTATTCCATACTTAGAAAAAAGAAGCGACACACTTACATGAGTAGAAAAAAAGCGTTTTAATTGATCCAATTCTTGTTTTTGCATTACCGACACAACTTCTGCTGCGTTTATATATCATGTTAAATTAGTGTTTCCATCTTAAAATTTACATCATTCATTCAACATTTTCCTGTCTTCTTTATTTCCTCTTTTTGAGAAAAACTTCAGTAGGAAAACAATTTCCACTCTTACATAAGTCAAGACGCTCTTGTCTATGGATGTCGCTAACTATTAGTACGAAAACGACATGCTAAAATCCGCATTGTGCTGAGTATATAGAAATAGCTAGAAGTTAGCTTTTGTTTTCCTTTCATTCGTCTCGCGTCAATCAATTGTTGTCTTCCAGAGACAAATAATAGTGGGCACATCCTAGTAACTTTGTCATTGCTGAATGATGGTAGACACAAAGACTTGAAAAGTTAGTAGCAGAAGACAACAGGACTAATCCAGCCAAATCAAAATACTTTATTTTTTTTACCTGTACAATGGCAGATGGCGATAATTTTCAAGAACAACAACAAAATCGCGCTCAACGTCGCCTGTTATTCGATGGATTTAACTTTCAGGCTACTAACGGCGGTGTAAATGATGCTTCCACAAGGCATCAGTTGAATAATCCAAGACATTCGCCAGATTTAATCACAGATAAAATGTATACATCACCACCAGAAGAAAAATTACAAATCAATAATGCTGAACAAGAGTAAGTTAGCACTTGGAGATTAGAGAAAACTGCATTCAGTGTATCTTAGACACGGGGAGGTCAGCTGGAGAAAACTAAATGTTCGATATAGACCGATCTTTTTACCTCGAACTGTGGCATAGATTTTATGTCATGTTTTCTTCATTACAAGATTATAAAAGTTAAATTTTTTTATCCCGCACACATAGATTAGGTGCGCCAGACATGATGTTCAGAAGACATTTAGTAAATAACAACAAATTTTGTCGTTTCATCAATATTCTTTTATGTACACGAATGTGAAAAGGCCAAAATATCATTTTTCTTATACCAGACTTAAAAAATTGCAAGTGTGAGACGTATGGGAGACAGTTTTTCGCGTGGGATAAAAGTTCAAATAGGAATCCCACCCGTCGACAAATACTTTATTACTCTATATAGCAATTAATTTATCTAAGCCTTTTTTTATATCACTACACATTAGCTGTGTCGTTACTTACTGTTGTCGACATACCCTTTCAAAGCATGACGTTTTGCTAAAAAACATATTTTTATAGCTTTTTGCGAAGAAAAATGTGTTACTTATATGTTGTCTCTCTCTCCCTCTCGGTTTCTCTGCGAAGTGAGTGATACTTTTCTGTGTACTATCCATAACAAGAGATTATATATTGCTATTATTTTCTTGTTTCTTTTAGTTTAAGTCGTTTCGCTATTAGCGAGAATTCTAATTCTTTTCCTCAATCTCAACAGTCATGTATTATTCAATTACAAAATGCCAAAAATCTCCTACATTCGATGAGTCGGACAAATACCGGTCTGTATCAACAACAGCAACAATCAACGGTAGCCAATATTGACAACAATAATGCAGAGAATCAATTGAGAAATAATGGTAAACATTTTTATTATGATATATAAACTAGAATAAAAGATGAATATTCTATTCACTTCTCACTGGTTGTATAAATTGTTCTTTTAGTACAGAAGCTGGATAAATCACTTAGGGTCTGTCTATATCAGGGTTCTCAAACGTCTCCCATTCGACCATTTTGACCCCCAGTAAATAAATCCCCCGTGAGGGACATATTTCGTCTCCCACTGACAATTTATTTGATGTCCTACCACTTCAGCATCATATTTGATAGGAAAAGATTGGCGGATTATTACATAATATGCAAAGACTTATGTCCTCATTAGTATATCTTGTCATGCAGATCATTATCATATAGGTGTTTGGATAGTTTGTAGCAAATGGAGTTATTCTGAGATTCGTGAACCATCCCCAAAAATACACTCTTTCTGTCGTGCGCGTCTCAGGGTTTATTAGACGTGTGATATAAATTTGTCGATAAAACTTAATTGAAAGGTCTATTGTTTGAAATTTGAAAAATTAGCTTTGAAAGAATGAACTTTAAATTAGAACTACAAGAAGAATGACTTTAATTGAGCTCATCGGGTATTTTAGATTGACATGACGTTATTCCGTTAAAATAAGCGTCCCCTATTTGGAACTTTCTGTCCCACATTCGAAAAAAATAATTTGAGACCCCTGTTCTATATACTCAGTTACTCATCTTTTTCCATTCTAATAATTATCTCTCTTTTTTTGTCTTCATCTTTTGGTTAATTTAGAGGATTTGTCTGTGACTCAACGTAATGGTCAAATTTTAATGATCGATAATCCTGAATTATCCTATTACAAGTCGGCTCTGGAGAGTGAACGTGCTCGTCGAAGTCATTCTGAAAAACTGATCGAATCACAACGTTTAAAATTGTTAGAATATGAAGAAAATCTTTTACAAATAAAATCGTCCGATATGAAAAAGACATTGTGTATGCAACAATTAGAACAGATGATACCGAATATAGTTGATGAATGGAAACAAAAAGAACTTGAATATCAAAAACAACTTCAACAACGAGATCAACGATTTACAAAAGGTAAAATGAGAGTGTCAAATAGAATTCTTTACTCATTCGGTGTAGATGTTTATCCGATTAACTAATCAATCTCTTCGTTTTTATTTATAGTTAAACATGAAAAAGATCAACAATTTCAAGAAAATCAGTTATTACACACTCAGTTGAAAGATAAGAGTGAACAAATTCAACAAATGATAAAAGATCGAGAGAGATGGAAAAGTGAAGCTGATCAGAAACAGAAGGATTTGAGCCATATACAACAAAAATTACACCAGCAAGAAACAACAAATCAACAATTGAAATTTGAATACGAACAAGTATATCTATCTATCTATCTATCTATCTATGCTTGGTTGTTGTTTTTTTGTCAGAGTAAGCGTTTTCCCACACACAAAAGGTAAACAAATTTTTATACGAAACTCTTATTGTTTTTACGAACATATTAAGAATGAAGTTTCATCTTTAGAACATTTTCTTTACTTGATAAAATAACAAAAAAAACTTTTTTTTATAAAACGTCTTGTCCACGAAATTCTGTTATTGAAAGGATGAGGCCATCATGTTTTCCGTCGGTTTTGTATGTGAACGTGCTCTCAGTTCCAGATTATTTTATTTTACACATAAGAGCGTGCTAATTAACAACAACTATTTCCGAGATATATACGATATATCGTTCTGAGGATATTGCAAAGACATTCAATATTACTTGTCTATCATTTTTAAAATGAATTATGTCTCAGCATCCTTTACGTACCTCCGAAAGAGTATCGCACAGAGCTCGAAAATATTTGGTTTTATTAGCACATTTTTATGTGTAAAACAAAACAAGGACGTGTCCACATTCAAAACATATAACCAGATTAAAACAGACGAAAAACGTGATGAACTTAATCTATCAACATCAGAATTTCATGGACAAGCAGAAAGCATATTTACTATTTCTTAACGCTTGTCGAGATTTTAAAAAAGGTTTTGGCTTGTAATAATAAAACATGTTCTTTAATGAGAACATAATTATTTTTTCAACTAAAATCATAGGCAATATCTGTTTAGCACTCAAATAGATCTATATCAGATTGTATTCGTCAGTTTCTTAACCCTTTGAATTCTTGTGGTAAGTACGCTTATCACCATTAAATTTCGAAAGTTTTGGACAATCTTCAAGAACTTTTATCATACATAATCTTAATAATTTACCGTTGCGTCTCCCTTATCCGACGTGAGTCCAATCAGGACGTGTGTATAACTTTATTCACGACCTTTATATTTGTTTTATCATCATATGCATAAGTAACGAAATAGAACTTGTATAAATGCCTTCTTATATAGTTTATACCATGTTTCATACAAATTTGATTTACTAAAAAATTCGGGATTCCAAAGCTTGCAATTAACTCTTCTGAGAAATTTTCGATGTGTGTGAAAAACGATACGTTGGAAAACAATCATTTCTTTTTAGAAAATCACTCACTTCAAAACAATTTGATTAAAAAATATTTTCTAATATTTTGAGTACATTTTAGAAATGATAAATGCCTATTTTTTTAAATTTTTTTATTTTCTATCAAATGTATCCAAGTCTTTGTTCCTTTGTAACTAGTAATAAGTGACAATGTTTGTACGTGTTACTTATTAAAAAAAAATAATAAAGTAGTATCTGTTGTTGTCTGGGTACTAGTATAAAATAATCAAATTGTTTCTTGCCACTTGTAATAGGGATGGTGATGAAACTAATAGGAACACATATTTTAGCTACGAGTGAACAATGACTAACGCTGCATTTCAAGTCAAAAATCTGTTGTCTACACTCTTTTTATTTTTTTCGCTTTTCTTAGAGTCAACTTCGTTCGTCAAAAGTGGACGATGAATTAAAACGTGAAATATCAAAATTACAACGAACAATCGAACACAATGAACAAGATTTAGAAGTATATATAAATTTTGTCTAATCTATATTCATCTCTGTACTTCTTCTATATTTGCAGGAAAAACGTGTAAAATTAGAAAATGTTCAAAAAGAGTCCACTCGTGTTCTAACAGAACATCAAACAAAAATAAAACAAATTGAACTTGAACTTGATGAACAACGACGTGATAATGTATAATTGAGATGTTAATACTTAGGGCATACCAAGAGTAGTGATTTTGACACTTTAATACCGTATAATAAGCTTTAAGAAATTTCTCTCTATATAGTCTGATAGAGAAAAGAATGCTCTATTTTTCTATGCTATT